TTCAAAGGAATAACACTATGTTTAATGGCTGCTGTGAACCTGCTGATACTGTCTTCAGGAATGTGGTGTATAGGGTCTCTTGCAGGTGCTCTGAAGCTGATAGGCAGTTTCTGATCTTGTAGTTTCTTTTTGCCTGTTTAGCCTTGTTAGAATGTGTGGTGTTGGTTTTGTTCTGGTTTTCTTGTTGGCTGCTTTAGCCTGTTTTGTTCTGTTCCTATAGTTACAGGTAACCCTCCTAGAGGGAAGCTTGCTTCTATTGAGTTCAGTTGGGGCTTGTAAGGGCTCTAGGCTCTCAGCAACCCTTCCTAGAAGGTGGGTTGGGAGCTCTAGGCCTTAGCTTGTGATTCTTTGTTTTTTTGGCTTCTTGTTGTGTTGTGGTTTGGCCTTGGGCCCCCTGTTTTGTACTGTTATGCTGTTTTCAGCTCCTTTTGGTAATAATATTTCTACATACCAAAAAAAAAAAAAAATTTGCAAAATTGTGAAAAATCAAGTTTATGTGAAAAAGGCATATCAACTCAAGCACTAATTAAAACTCCATAATTATGCTCAAGGATAATTAAAATAGCAGTAGATTAGGGATGCAATAATGCATTTAATCTAACCTTGTAATGCTTATGCTTGCATTAATCAAGGCTTAAAAAGATTTAAAATTTTCGTCGAAAAACGAAAAAACCCCAAAAACTTGGGTTTCTGGTTCGAATTTGGCTTCTGGACAACCCTCAACTCAAAAAGGGTTGAATCTGTTTCAGAATGTCAATTCCACCAAAAAATCACTAATTTTGAGCCAAAATCTGGGTTCGACGGCCAAATCGATAAAAATACGAGTTTTAAAATTAATTAAAACGAGCTTCTAATCTAATTAGAAAAGCAAAACAAGAAATTAAATCTTACTTTAATACACCTTAATTAATCAATAATTGCAAAAATTAAAAGGAGCGTGGCTCCGATACCGCTGTAGGGTTTCGTAGTGACCTTCACTACGCGGAAAGAAACCCGCAAAGACCAGCTCCCATAATAAATGCAATTAATCAAGCAAAACATAATTAAACACAAGAAAGGATAAAAGGTTATACCTTTAACGCGTGCTTCGCTCAACTATGAGCTCATACTTGAACCTCGAAAACACGAGGCCTCCGACGGGATCGTACCCTCGAACCCGACCCGAGCGTCCTAAGTCTCGAAGGTTAGTCGAGACCCGGACAAATAAAACTATGAGTTTTATGAATCAAGGTTTACTCAAATCAAGAGTTGCCTTTTAATTCCACTCAAGGTTGTGTCTTTCCCAATACCCATGCCTTTGGTATTTATAGGGAAAGGCACCCTTGATTTCCAATCTCCCATCAATGTGGGAGAGTTGGTAAATTCAACAATTTATTTAATTCCAAATTAAATAAATAATTAAATCAATCACAATGCAACAAGTGTCAAGGGGAGAGAGAGAGTTAGGTGAGGACCATGAATAGGTGGGGGGGACCATTGCCTTGCTCCCCAAGGCTTTGCCCAAGCCTTGGTCCCCACCCCTCACATAACCGGCATCAAGGGGCTGCTGGGCTGCTGCAAGCTAGCCTAGCAAGCCAGCACTAGGCAGCAAGCATCAGCCCAGCTAGCCATGCGCGCTGCATGCTGCTGTGCTGGTTGATGCCCATGTTGCCGCTTGCTAGGCGCTGGGCGCTGCTGGCTGCCTAGCACTCCCTATCACACGCACATGAATACGCCTACCCAGCATGTATGCTGCTAGCGAGCCACACATGCTGGGCATCGCCTCTCGTATAGCTACGCACAGCCAGGCCATCATGCACTACCACTCGCACAGGCACACGCATAGGTGCGATGTGCTTGGTGCGTGGCCTGCGATGGTGCCTACACACAGGCACACACGCAAGGCTAGTGCTGCTTGCTAGCTTGCTGTGCTTGGTGCTGCCATGCGAAGGCACGCATGCAAGCACACAGCTCGGTGCAGCATTGCGAGGCTGCTGGGCGATGGTGCACACGCACACGCACACACGTATGTGCCTAGCACTGCGATGGTGATGTGCGTGGTGCTAGGGTGCTGCGATAGTGCCCACGCACATGCACACACACACGGGTGATGTGCTTGGTGCGATAGGGCTGCGATGGTGCGAGGCATGCACGCAAAAACCTATGCGCCAGTGCCCAGCACTGCGATGGCTGTGCTTCGTGTGTGTGGCCTGCCATGCGCGCCTAGGCATGGTGCTAGGGCTGCGATGGCGCCTAGGCATCATGCTAGGGCTGCGATGGCGCCTAGGCACTTATGCCTCGCCTAGCATACCATGGTGCGCCTAGCACACACATGGTGCGCATAGGCTTACGATGAGCTGGCCTAGCCTAGCTACGGCTACGCTCATACTTGTTGCTTGTGATTTTGCGACGCTCGGTCTCGACGCCCTTGGCTCGATATCCGACATCTGTATTCGTAAAACTCTGTTGACTCATTAAATCCTTCGGATTAATTCGTCGTCTCGAATCGGTTGTTCGATTGGGTTCGACCCGAAGAGTTCAGTTAAGATTAAGCTGTAATATTAATTATACGTTAATATTACTGATCGGAAGCGGCCTCCACCTAGGCATTCCGATCACTTCACCTTACTGAAGAATTAGCTCTGTAATAATTCTAAACCCTCTATTAGAATAATACACTTGTTGGAAGGACATCATTCCTTTCACTCCCGGAACTCCTCAATGGAACGGAGTATCCGAACGGAGGAATCGAACCCTGTTAGACATGGTTCGATCAATGATGGGTCTTAGTGAACTTCCTATCTCTTTTCTGGGGACATGTGCTACAAACCGCAGCAATAACACTGAACCGCGCTCCGTTAAAAGCTGTTGAAAAGACTCCATATGAATTATGGACTAAGAAACCTCCTAGTTTGTCTTTTCTCAAGATTTGGGGATGCGAAGCATATGTCAAGCGATTAATTTCGGACAAATTTCACCCCAAATCGGATAAGTGTTTCTTTGTGGGATACCCAAAAAAAACCAAAGGGTATTACTTCTACAATAAATCCGAGAACAAAGTGTTTGTTGCTCGTGATGATGTCTTTTTGGAGAATGAACACCTTTCCAAAATGACAAGTGGGAGGAAAATCGAACTCGACGAAGTTCGAGAGGACGAGCAACAATGTCAACCTGATAAAACTGACAATGTAAGTGCTTTGGAAGCAGCTGGGAAGATTGGTAAGAACCAAACAGACAATGTAAATGCTCAACCTATTACCCTTCGTTGGTCGCAACGGCAAAGATTTCAACTAGACAGATACCTTGGTATTGTCTTAACCGATGATCAAGACATCCTAGTTATGGATGGAGATGAGCCAGCGACATACAAGCAAGCTATGACGAGCCCCGACTATGCTAAATGGCAAGAGGCCATGAAATCCGAGATGGACTCCATGTCTGAAAATCAAGTCTGGGACTTGGTGAATTTGCCCGAGGGTTACACACCCATTGGTTGCAAATGGATCTTCAAATTGAAGACAGACAAGGATGGAAATGTGTCTATATACAAGGCTAGACTGGTGGCAAAAGGTTATAGACAAATCCACGGGATTGGCTATGATGAAACCTTTTCACCGGTCGCAATGCTAAAGTCTGTCCGGATTATTCTAGCAATTGCTGCATATTACGATAATGAAATATGGCAGATGGATGTCAAAACCGCCTTCCTAAATGGGATTTTGGAAGAAACTGTGTACATGACATAGCTAGAAGGTTTTGTCAATTCGAGCAACGTTGGAAAGGTTTACAAGCTTAAGAAGTCCATTTATGGACTAAAGCAAGCCAGCAGGAGTTGGAATCTGCAATTTGATGAAGCCATCAGCAAGTTTGGCTTTATCAAGAATCCAGATGAATCTTGTGTATACAAGAAGGTCAGTGGGAGTGACATCGCATTCCTAGTCCTATATGTCGATGACATACTGCTCATTGGAAACAGCACAAAATTACTGGAGTCCGTAAAGGGCTGGTTGGGAAAGTGCTTTTCAATGAAGGACTTAGGAGAGGCACAGTACATATTGGGCATCAAGATCTACAGGGATAGATCTAAGAGGATGATTGGATTGAGCCAGAGTACTTACATTGATAAAGTACTGGCACGATTCAACATGGAGAATGCCAAGAGAGGGCATCTACCCATCTACCCATGTCCCATGGCGTAACTCTCAGCAAGAAACAGTGTCCACAGACACCTGTTGAGCGAGAGAGAATGGATCAGATTCCATATGCTTCGCTAATTGGGTCGATCATGTATGCCATGATATGTACCAGGCCAGATGTCTCGTATGTCAGGGTACATATTTTACCTAAATGGAGGAGCATTTAGCTGGAAGAGTGCTAAGCAGAGCACAACTGCAGACTCTACAACTGAAGCCGAATACTTGGCTGCTTCAGAAGCTGCTAAGGAGGCTGTTTGGATTCGGAAGTTCGTTAGTGAACTTGGTGTTGTACCCTCCATCAAGGGACCGATAGATCTCTACTGTGACAACAATAGAGCTACCGCTCAGGCTAGGGAGCCAAGAGAACACCAGAATGTCAAACATGTCCAAAGGCAATTTCACATGATAAGGGAATGGAAATCCGAAGGTGAAATCAGAATTTGTAAGATCAGCACGGATGATAATGTAGCCGATCCTTTGACTAAACCTTTGCCTCAAGTGAAACACAACAAGCACGTTGAGGCAATGGGAATCAAGCACGTTGGAGATTGGCTTTGAAATAACTTGTACATGTGTTTTAATTAAACTGGTTGATTTAATCACTAGTAGAAAAAATGAATTAGGCACCGCACATTTCGCACCGGTTCTTGAAAACCGGTGGCAAAAGAAATGGGTGGGATTGGGGAGATGACTTTTCCCACCGGTTTAATATTAAACCGGTGGGAAATCTTCTTTTTCGCACCGGTTCTAACCAATCCGGTGCGAAATATTAAAAAAAACCGGTTTATGGCTTTCTTTCTTCTTCTTTCTTTTTTACCCCCTGCTTTCCCTCTTCGTTCTGCTCTTCTCTTTCTCTCTCGTTTTCGCATCTCCTTCTCTTCCCGAACTCCATTCCATTGAAGCAGCTCGCTCTCTCTCCATTGAAGTGGTTTACGAGCTTTCTTACTCTACTGAAGCAGCACCTCCTTCTCTCTCCATATCTCTGGCCTCCATTGAACTCACGCGTGCTCTATATTCTCCATTGAAGCCGATTCTGAGCTTTCTCACCTCTATTGAAGCAGCTTCGAGGTAAGATTTTTCTTGTGGTCTACTTAATCCCTCGAATTCATTCGCAATCTAGGGTTTGTCGTTGATTTTATTTTCAATTTAGTAATTTAGGGTTGTGGTAATATAGGGTTTGTCATTCAAGCGCGCACGGCTACACCTCCACCACAACGGCCTCCTTGTCACGGCGGCACGACCTCGAACAGTGAACCTGGTGTCTGGTGAGCTTGCCTTTCCGGTTTGTGTTACTTGTTGTGCATTGAGTTATGCTCGAGTTATTATGTCTTTCAACTTTGTTAATAATTATGTTGTGCACGATTTGTTGATTACTCGTATACGATTTGCTCCAGAATCCAACAATCATCTCATTTCATCTTGGGATTCTATGAGTTACTATTATTTGCTTCTTCATAAATTTTTATTCACAATTTTCTTTTGAATTTAACTCAATTTAATTAATTTTTTATGAATTTTCTATAAATTTTACTATTTCTTTTTGATATGCAATGTTCAAAAGTCTAGCTATAAATCATTCACAGCTTTTTCAGTTTATAAAAGAGTTGAATAAGACTGTGTTTGGTTCTGAGTTGAAGGTTGTCTCTTTAGGTTCTAGGAAGAATCTCTGCATCAATCAAGGTATATAGACAATATAATCCATGATTTATTTACATCTTCTGAATTTCATCCATATTCATCTTATAATTTTTTTAAAAATAACTCTTTGATCCTGATGCCTGGCAAAACTTGTTAATATATATCTCTATTAATTTACATTGGGCAGCTGTGCATCATATGTATGATAGTATGAATATATAGCATCCTCTAATGTTATTGAAACCTGCAATTTTTTTGACACATTTCTTGCCAATTGCCATCATTAGTTATACGAAACCAATAAGAATCAGATTTTCTGAGATGGGGTTTTGTGGCATTGGTGTTTTCTAACTGTATTATGATAATGGGAGGAAGTTTGCTCATTTTATATTTAGTTGTGGCCTGTGGTTACATTCCTGCTGCTTGGCGGAAAAGTTGTATTCCGTGTTTCCTAATATTTTGCAATTTGGGATTTTCTCCATTTATGTTAATTCAGAGGTGCTGAAGATTGGTAACCCTGCTAGTATCAATGAACGTTGTTTGGAGCTGCACAATAGTAAGAAAAGTGGAGGTTCAAAGATCAAGGTGTGTGATACCTTGCTTATTTGAATTTGCTTTTTCAGTTGATCCTGCATTAGAGATAGTTGAACAGTTAATTTGTGCTCTCATTAAACCTTATCAACTCATCGCTAATATCATTTTAGTACTTTATTATTTAAGCAATTGAATGTCACTTGTATTGGACATGTCAATTGTCTAATCATTGCGTGGTTGAATAGAATGATTGTATAGTACGTTAGTCATTGCGTGGTTGAATAGAATGATTGTATGCTTTGTTCCCTGGTAGGTTTTCAAAGGCAGAAAGATGGCTGGGCGCATGGGTGGCAAACAGCGGACAGTGAAAATCGGTGGGAAAAGAAATGGGCGGGATTGGAATTATACAGAGGTAATTTCTCTCAACTTGGTATATAGGTTGTGTTGTAAATTGTAGACAATGAAAGGCTATAAGGACTGTTTTAGGGTGGCTTGCCCATAGTAACACTATTTAGTGTAGGATGACAGTGTAATTTGTTCCTGATTTTAATGTTTGTTGTTTTGTTTTTGTACTATTGGCTTTCTATTTAATTGTGAAATTGTTGTGTTGCTCTTTTCTCTTTGGTTATATATAGAGTGGTTTGGTTTTGGAGAGTCTTATTGTCTTCTCTTCATTTTCTTTTGCCTATAAGTATATGGTGTTTCAGAGGCAACTTTTTTTTTTTTTTGTAATTATACAGTGTACTTTAACAAATGAACCTTGATTACTGAACCTATATTAAGCTAAATCTGCTAATTCTGGACACCAAAAACTGAACAGATTTTAAACTACCCTACTATGATGCTAGACTTTATAATCATATTGGACTGTACAGTGATACTCAGAATGATGCTTGCTAATGATAATTTAGTTTGAAAAATTCAGACTTTACTATTTGTTGGTTAAAATGGTTTTTGTTTGGTGCATTTTATATGATTTGGCTACTCAAATTACAAATTAGGTTTGTCGTCGTTTAATTTGTATAGTATGGCATTGAATAGGAAAGATCTAATTTGAGTACTGTGTTATCAGGGGGTTCGTTTTATTAAGCTTTTGTGATGATTTGTTCCCTTGGTTGTAATACAGAAGTTCATAGGTGAACTTTTAATCAAGTAGACAGATTATTATTCATTCAGATTGGACCATCAGATCACATGTTCTTACAAAGCAAGGAGTTCTAACATGGGTTTACAAAGCAAAGCAATGCAAGCAGTAGCAGAATAGCAATAGCAGAACAGCAAGCAGAACACAAAGTAGCAGAAGCAGAACAATAGTAGCAGAAGCAGTAGCAGAACAGCAGTAGCAGTAGCAGAAGCAGAACAGCAGTAGTTATGATATCCTGGCTGTGATAGTTCTTGGAGTTATCGGAGGTGTTCTGGGCAGCTTTTATAATTATCTTGTTGACATGCACTATCGTTCACAACGTTGTAGCACCAGGCCCAGCAAAACAGTTATATGTTTTTTTTCAGTTTTTAAAGTGTAATATTACAAGTTATTGAGACAAATATATGTGTTTTATGTATATTATGATTATATATAAGTATTTGGTACAATTTAAGTGAAAAAAATGCAAAAAAAAATAAAAAATTTAATTTTTTGGGGCACTTTTGCCACCGGGTCAGTGTGAAAACCGGTGGGAAATGTAATAGTTTTGCCACCGGTTCACTTGAAAACCGGTGGGAAAAGTCCTCCAGCTATAAGATATATCACATGTTTTTGCCACCGGTTCACTCCAAAACCGGTGGGAAAAGTAGTTTTTGCCACCGGTTTTGAACCGGTGGGAAATCTTTGGGGATTTAGCACCCCCCAAATCAAGAACGGTTCAAAACCGGTGGGGAATGTGTGGTTTGAACTGGTGGGGATTGAGGTTTTTCGCCTAGTGAATGTAAGACACTGTATTGAAACCATTCATTAATGGAGTAATTAATTTTTGTGCAAAATTATCATTCACTCCATTACTATTTAATTGTGGTTTAGAATTAAATAATGAGTCCATTCGATATATGGAAATATTCAAAACAGGGTATCAAGACCATGTCTTGGATAAAGAAACACCTGTTAAGTGAACATTGAATATTTAAATCGAAAGTTATCCCTAATCGAGGTCATCTAACTGATGGACGATTGATGACCACCAGAGATTAGTGTGTAGTATGATTTACAGCACCGTTTCTTGTGCTGCAAGGACATGAAGGTCATAAATCATTTGCACAGGTGCCAGTTTGGAACTGCACTGGATCGACCTATGAGAGTACTTTAAGAGATTCAAATTGTCATAAGTACATTTCTCATTATAGCTATCGGAACTCGTTTCGTCGACCATGAGTATTGTGAAGTTTTCTTGTTCGAGAACTAGTCTCTTTGATGTTGCCTAACGTCTGCCTGAAAGGAATGGTGTCCTTCCAACAAGTGTATTCTTCCGATAGAGGGTTCAGAATTATTACAGAGTTAATTCTTCAGTAAGATCAAGTGATCGGAATTCCTAGGTGGAGGCCGCTTCCGATCAGTAATATCGAGGTACAATTGATATTACAGCTTAATCTTAACTGAACCCTTCGGGTCGAACCCAATCGAATCACCGATCCGAGACGACGAATTAATCCGAAAGAATTTAATGAGTCGACAAAGTTTTACGAATACAGACGTCGGATATCGAGCCTAGGGCGTCGAGACCAAGCGTCGCAAAATCACAAAGCGACAAGTATAAAAATAGCCCTAGCACCACACTTGCCTAGCCATGTGAATGCTAGGCTAGTTCAAGCTAGCATGCACCTAGCATGTCTAGGCGCAAGCCTAAGCACACTAGGTGTGCTAGGCGCATCGTCGCAGCCTAGGCGCGCCATCGCTGGCCTATCGCAAGCAACAGGCGCACCAGGAGCACCTTGTAGCCTATCGCAAGTAACAGGCGCACCAAGGCACCAGGCAGCCCTTCGCCACGACATCTAAGGACTCCTTTGCCACGACATCTAAGGACTCCTTACTGATATCGTTGAGCTTAACCAAGACAACTCGTATACCTAGTATACCTTACGTTCCTAGGGAAATAGTGATGTCTCACTTTGGCGTAGTCCATCACGTACGCGCATTCGTTCGGTAAGTGTTGTTCTTGGAACGGCAAATTTTAGCTCAATATTATTAAGGGACCTAGGGTTTCTATGTTGGTTGATTTAAGTGAACTTAAGTAATCTTCGCAACATATAGAAATCCTAGACATGCATCTAGCAATCATATATAACAACAATATACAAGGCATAGAAATAGATGCATTTGGCAACTAGCATGACCCCTTGAAATCTTCAATTTCCATGGGTCTTCATTTTGGCTCGTCTTCATCGAAACGCCGTCTTGAGACATCTTGGCCAAAATAAAATAAAGCAAGCTAGAACGACTAAGATTAATCTAATAGTACAAAAATACTTAACGGTTCGCAGACCGTATTTAGATTTACAAAAATACATAACGGAATGCAGTCCATATTTTCTATCCTAGTCGGGCCCCACTAGTTGCCATTTTCAAAGACCTGTTTTGAAAACAATCTTCCATTCACCCATTCACTATTTGTGAATGGCCCATGCAATTTTACGAAATACCTAATTAAACACGCAAAACTAGTAACTAACTTAGGTGGTTAATCCGATTAACGCGCCTAATTAAAACTAGTCAAAGTTGTTTAATCCATTATTTCTAAACGCAAAATGCTCACGCAATTAATTAAGCTCCCACTAAATTTCGCATCCATACTTAATTAATCCGATTAATTAAGTCGTCATAACCCATAATTTGTCAAATTTTTTGCAAGACTGAAAATCGAGGTTTTTAACCTCGTTAAAATAATTACTTAAAATTATTAAAATTGGAAAAATTGCAAAATCATAGCTCAAACATTAAGCAATAACTTCCCACAAAACCCCTAGTGGGTGCGCACCATGGCTGCTAGGCAGCCTATGGCCCTGCGCCATGGTGCGTGGTGCTGGCAGCTAGCAAGCATGCCTAGCACACCCTGCCTTGCTAGCTAGCACCAGCAGCATGCTACGCATGCTAGCTGCTTGCTGGCGCAGGCAGAAGTGGGTTGGCTGGCTGGGGCTTGCTGCCTCGCTGCCCAGCAGCAGCACAAGCGCACCAGCAGCCTAAGGCCCATGCACCAGCACACGCACTACGCAGCTGCCTCCTCGCCTATTTGCAAAATTTGTGAAAAATAAGTTTATGTGAAAAATGGTATATCAACTTAAGCACTAATAAAAACTCCATTATTAATGCTTAAGGATATTTTAAAACCAATAGATTAGTGATGCAAATGTGCATTTAATCTAACCTTGTAATGGTTGCATTAATCAAGGATTAAAAAGAATTAAAATTTCGTTGAAAAACGAAAAACCCCAGAAAAAATGGGTTTCTGGTTCGAATTTGGTTTCTGGACAGCTCTCGAAGAAGGTTGAATCTGTTCCAGAATGTCGATTCCACCCAAAAATCACTATTTTTGAGCCAAAATCTGGGTTCGACAGCGAAATCCAGAATAAATCGAGTTTTAAAATTAATTAAAACGAGCATCTAATCTAATTAGAAGAACATGAACCAGAAAAATAAATTCTTTTAAAACACCTTAATTAAAATAATTGCAAAAATTAAAAGGAGCGTGGCTCCGATACCGCTGTAGGGTTTCGGAGTGACCCGACACTACGCGGAAGGAAACCCCCCAAGACCCGCCCCTTAATTAAAGCAGTTAACAAGCATAATAAACTTAATCAAACAAGACTAAGAACAAGAATTATACCTTTGTTGCGTGCTTCGCTCCCGAAGAACTCTTACTTCAAAATCCCGAAAACTACGAGATCTCCGACGGATCGTACCCTCGACCCGACCCGAGCGTCCTAAGTCTTGAAGGTTAGTCAAGACCCGGACAAAAGAAAACTATGAGTTTTACGAATCAAAAGGTTTACTCTAATTACAAGAGTTGCCTTTTTAATTCCACTCAAGGTTGTGCATTTCCCAATACCATACCTTTGGTATTTATAGGGAAATGCACCCTTGATTTCCAATCTCCCATCAATGTTGGAGAGTTGGTAAAAATCAACAATTTATTTAATTCCAAATTAAATTAATAATCTACTTAATCACATTGCGACAAGTGGCACAATCATATGCAAATGAGTGATGGCCAAGGCTAGGTGGGGGGACCATTTGCCTTGCCCCCCAAGGCCCTTGATTGGTCCCCACATGCATGCACAAAAACGGGTCAAGGAGGGCTAACTGGCTGCCAGCTAGCATGCCAGCTAGTGCTGCCAGCTACCACTGCCTTGCTGCCCAGCATCCCAGCTAGATAGTGCATGCTGGTGCTGGGTTGTGGTGGTGCTGGTGCTTTGTGCTAGCGCCTGCCGCTGCTAGCACATTGTGCTGGCGCTGGCCCAAGCATCCCACGCACCACACGCATCCCCGCTGCACCTTTCGCACATGCTCGCATAGCCAGCATGCGTGCTGCTAACGAGCCACACATGCTGGCCCTTTGCCTCGCACCATACGCGTCAGCCTCGCAGCACCTCTCGCACATGCACTAGCATCTACGCACCAGCCTCACGCAACACGCTCCATCCTCGCACCATATGCACTAGCCACGCACCATGCGATCTAGTCACGCACAACACGCATCAGCCTCGCACCACGCACCAAGCATTGCTAGCCCAGCTAGTGCGCCTACGCACGCAAGGGCCTAGCATGCGTGCTGGGCGATGCTACGAGGCATCCACGCACTAGCACATGCGCCAGTGCCTAGCATTGGATGTGCTTGGTGCTGTGGATCTGCCATGCGCGCCCATCATTGTCCTAAGGCTGCGATGGTGCCCAGCCATCCTAGGGCACGCATGATGCGCCTAGAGATGTTGTATGGGCTGCGATGGTGCCCAGCCATCCTAGGGCACGCATGGTGCGCCTAGAGATGTTGTATGGGCTGCGATGGTGCCCAGCCATCCTAGGGCACGCATGGTGCGCCTAGAGATGTTGTATGGGCTGCGATGGGTTGTGATGGTGCCCAGCCATCCTAGGGCACGCGTGGTGCGCCTAGAGATGTTAGGTGCATGCTAGCTCGAACTAGCCTAGCATCCACATGGCTAGGCTAGTGTGGTGCTAGGGCTATGTTCATACTTGTCGCTTTGTGATTTTGCGACGCTCGGTCTCGACGCCCTTGGGTTCGACCCGAAGGGTTCAGTTAAGATTAAGCTGTAATATAAATTGTACCTTGATATTACTGATCGAAAGCGGCCTCCACCTAGGCATTCCGATCACTTGATCTTACTGAAGAATTAACTCAGTAATAATTCTGAACCCTCTATCAGAAGAATACACTTGTTGGAAGGACACCATTCCTTTGAAGCACATGCGTGTGTGCGTGTGTGTGTGCACCATCGCCCAACAGCCTCGCAATGCAGCACCGAGCTGTGTGCTTGCGTGCGTGTCTTCGCATGGCAGCACCAAGCACAGCGAGCTAGCAAGCAGCACTAGCCTTGCGTGTGTGCG